AATATATATATACACGCACACATTATACATACAGATTATTGAGTCTCTTTGTTATACAAGCTGAACAAAATGTACAGCTTGGCTTTATCTTGAATACTGCACAATCACTGGGAGTGGATTAGTATTGTCAAAACTGACTCCCATTAATACTTACGGTACAGCTCTGATATCGTTTAGCACAAGCATGGGAGACCAGGTATTGGCTGGGACATCCATGCCACTTGCTGATTACTGAATATCCGTGAAACATGGGAATAATTTACAGCATCCTAGGTAAATTTTAACTTTTCTTCCTATATTTTAGAATGGAGATAATTTCCATCCTTGAGTTTAGGTTTCGTCAGTATCTCCATTTGAATAAAAAAGGGAAATACATAAATCCTGGACTGTTGCTGATCCATGAGGCCTGGGTTGGTGACCACTGCTCTAATGAACAGGGCCAGAGTACTGCAACCCATATTGCAGTATAAGATTTAGCCATGCCAAGTAAATTAACACCAAAGTAGAAACAGTACAACATTTTGAGTTAAGTCTGGAAAAAAATAAGAATATCCCTCTCCCTATATTTAACAGTACAGTGATATCAGATTGTTGTTATGAGTCCAGTGAGAGTTTCCATTTCAGGAATACTCATCATAACCCATGTTGTCTGCACCTAATACATGATATCTAGCAGGGTGTCTTAAACTGGTACAAGGCCTCACCTTGATATGTTGGAGGCATACCGGCCTTGTTTGCTGGTATGGCATGCATAGGATGGCTTGGAACTGGCTGGTATCCTGCTGCGTAAGCCATTGGCGTCACAGCTGGCCGAGGTGTGACATTGTTTACTGTTACAGAGAAAGTTACACGAGCATGGCTTGGACGGGAAGACAAATGGCAACAGATACAGCATTTACAGATGCAGGTGATCAGAGAAGCCACCAAACTCAGACCTATCACAAGGCCCACTCCAATCAACATGTAAAGATTGTTTAGCAGACACGAGAATTGTGACTGATCCAACATTGTTCCACAGAACAAACTGCAGTATCTCTTCCGGCAATTTCCCACACAGAACGATAGCATACATTCCTGTTATCCATGTATATGCAGATCAGAACCAACGTAGGGTGCACAGTCGTCCACCAACACTCCTGTGAGTGAGATGAGACATAGGCAGGCTAGCACAGAGAAGGATGAAAAAGGCATGGCTGATTAGGAACAAACCCTTTTCCTCTGACTGGAGACTGGAAGAGTTATCGCGAATCCCTGTGGTGTCTTTTTAAAGAAATGCTATGCCTTTGTGGGGTAGTTTAAATAAGCAACCTGATAAAATGCTCCATAATGGGACATGGACCCAGTATAAAAATTCAAAGTTTGAAAAAAAACTTTAATGGCTGTGTCTCAAATGTGACCCTTCAACATCCACATATACCTGGTAAAGGTATATATGGGGGTATTGCTGCACTCAGATGACATAGCTGAGCAACATATGAAGTATTATACAGCCATAGCACACGGTGGTTTGAAAAATATACTGTCAAATCTCACTGTGTGTGTCAAAAGGCAGAAAAAAATACTTATCACCACTACACTTGGTACAAACTAGCGAAAACAAATAATCCCACGCTAAGGTTCAAAATATGCATTTTGAAATACCCTAGGGTGTCTTGTTTAAGAAATGGTATGTCTTTGTGGGGTACTTTGAATTAGCAACCTGCATAAATGCTCCAAAATGGAACACGGACAAAAAAAATCTATGAAAATGTTCACTTAAAACCTGAAATTGTCATGTCTCTGTTACAGCAATGTATCTTCACAAAAATGTGTCTAGATCATACATTGGGCATATTGTTTTACTCAGAAGATGTGAGGGAGCATAATTGTATGACAGTGGTACACATCAAATGTACAAATACCCAGCAAAAATACAACATGTTTGTAAACAATGCCTTTCTTTTTCACCACAAACTTTGACAGTTATTAGTTTAACCCCTTAAGGACTGGACTGTTTTTGCGATGTTGTACATTTGCGACCAGGACTCTTTTTACACTTTTGTGGTGTTTGTGTTTAGCTGTAATTTTCTGCTCTCTCATTTACTGTTCCTATACAAATTATATATTGTTTTTTTCAGGACAAAAAAGGCTTTCTTTACATACCATTATTTATATAATCTCATGTAACTGAATTTTTTTTAAAAAAGTATGATGAAAAATTGAAAAAATACATGTTTTTTGACTTTTACTTGAAAAATCTTTTACTCATCTACAAAAGTGAATTAAAAAAACTGCTAAATAGATTAAAAATTTTGTCTTGTGTTTTAAAATACCCAGTGTTTACATGCTTTTTTTTTCAAGTTATAGGGCTTTAGGTACAAGTAGGATATTGCAGTTTCAAAACATACATTTTTAATGAATCACACCCCACATGTACATATTTTTTTTTAAAGTAGACAACCCAGGGTATTCAATATGAGGTATGTCCAGTCTTTTTTAGTAGCCACTTAGTCACAAACACTGGCCAGTTAGCGTTCATATTTGTTTGTGTGTGAAAAAAGTTAAAAACTAAATTGAATGCTAATTTTGGCCAGTGTGTGTGACTAAGTGTTTACTAAAAATTACTGGACATACCCCATTTGCAATACCTTGGGTTGTCTTCTTTTGCAAATGGTATGCCATCATGGGGGTAATTCTCATTCCTGGGCTACCATACGCTCTCAAAGGCAATGTAACCAACCTGGCCATTTTCAATGTAAAAATATTTGACCCATATATTTGACCCTGTAACTTTCAAAAACGCTATAAAATCTGTACATGTGGGGTACTGTTATACTCGGGAGACTTTGCTGAACACAAATATTAGTGTTTCAAAACAGGAAAACGTATCACAACAATTATATCATCAGTAAAAGTGCTGTTTGTGTGTGAAAAATGCTAAAAAAGTCCCTTTCACTGACAATATCATCGCTGTGATATGTTTTACTGTTTGGATCACTAATATTTGTGTTCAGCGAAGTCTCCCGAGTAAAACAGTACCCCCCATGTACATGTTTTAGGATGTCATAGAAAGTTACAGGGTTTAAATGCAGTGCTAGCAAATTAAATTCTCTGGACTTTCGGCCTGGGTTGGCAGGCAGGTCCCTCAAATTGCAATTAATAAAATTACTTAATTATGTAAAAATATTACATAAATACGCACGTAGAATTTAAATATATATGCATATTTATATATTTGAAGTCTACGTGTATATTTATATAATTATTTATGTAATTTTGTATATGGACATATGTATATTTCGTATTATTTTTATTTATGTATATATATATAGATATATATACAATTTCATTCTAAGTGCATTTTGATATAAATATATATATTTTAATATCACAATACAGTTAGAATAAAATTTCATATAGATATATAATTTTAAAAAATATATTATTATTTTTACAATTTTTAATTTAATTTAATTTACTTATTATTTGTATTTTATATTAATATATATATATATATACAATATATATAGTTATGTAACTTAATTATAAGTGTATTTTTATATTATATATGTACATGTTATTTAATTATAAGTGTATTTTTATATTATATATGTACATATTAATATAAAAATACACTTAGTATGACATTATATATATGATATATAGACATATATAATTTTTTTTTATTAACATTAACTTTTTTTATTTTACACATGCAGGGAGACTGCCTGTCAGCACAGGCAGTCTCCTGCAGGCAGACACATGGACACCTGTTGTGACCATGTGATCGCTCTGTTTTGCGATCATATGGCCCCAGGGGTCCTAATCCGCCCTGGGGAGACTGTCTGGGCTGCAGGCAGTTTCCCCACACCACGAGCACCGCGAATCTGTTAGGACAGTTCAGGACCGTCAGCGGTCGGCAACGCTAAAATGCCGGTGATGGTTCTGAACTGTCCTCGGGCCTGAATGGGTCAAAAGTAGAGGTAAGTTAAGGCACAATATATGCCATATAAGATACCCTGGGGTGTCTTCTTTCTCAAATGGAAGGCCTTTATGCGGTTATTTGAACAGTCAAACTGCTATAATTCCCCAAAATGAGACATAGGCCATGAAATCCATCTATGAAAATTCTAACCATGGGAATTTAAATAGCCTTGTCTCTTATATAGCATTGTAGTTTCACAGAATAGTGCCAAAGGAATACAATGGGGGTATCGTTATATTCAGCAGATGTAGCTGAGCACAATATGGGGTTCTGTACAGGAATAGCACACACCAGCTTTACGAAATACACATTACAAAAACCTTGTTATATGTGTGTATGTCAAAATAGAGAAAAAACACAAGTTTACTACAATATTTAGGAGAGATTGGTGATTAAATGGCTACGCAAAAAGTGTCAAACTAACCTTAGGTAAATAGCCTATCTTGTCTACTTTAAATAAATATATACTTTTGTGTGGCAATTTTATTTTTTGTCATGGCTACTAAATTTACAAGACAAACATACCAACTTCTAAAATTGTTCACATTGAAATTGTTTTTTAGTTCTTGTATTTTGTGACCTGTAACTTTCAAAATAAACTGAAATTCTACATATATTATGAATACAAACAGCAAAAATGCAAACATTGCTTGTGTCCTTAAGTTTAAGTCTAGCTTTTGAAATTGTTTCTTTAAGGAGGTGTGTGAGGTGACTGTGTAAAACTAAAAAATGTAATGCTTATACCTAATAATTAATATACTATTAAGAAATTATCTATCTATTTGTGCTAAACGCTCCTTACCAGGGACGTCTCCCATGAACTTCTGGAAGAGTGTAGTAGCTGGCCCCCTGCCCACTGACTATGGTCTAGGTCATGACCCTGTTCGGGAGTTAACCTCCCAAGTTGCCATTAGCAGCTTTCTCTGAGGGCCGCTGGTTCGGGACTTTCCCTTCATTCAAATGGAACCGAACGCTAGCTCCCAGGCAGCATGAACCAAACCAACAAATGGTCCTCAGTGGTACAGAGGCGCGACTGCTATGGAACTAATTTCAGCATGAGGTTTCGTCGGTCCCTGGTCACCTCAGCGGTACTCAGCCGTGAATGTTATGGAACTGTTTTCGGCATGAAGTGAACATGCGGTTCCCGGACAACTTGGTTCGGGGTTTTGAACCATTTTGAAATCCGCCAGGAGAGCGCTTTATGGAGGGAAGGTGCCTGAGAATAAGGGTAACAAACACTACCCGAGAGCCAGGTGGAGCACCCTGTATTGCGGCTGCAGGAGCTCCCAAGAGTTGACTGACAAAAGCACCAAACGCCCTGGGACTATTTTGGGCTAGTGTGCGGCCGGTCAGAACTTTAACACGGTGGCGTTTCCTCTACACTGCATGGATCTGAACGCTATTTGGAGAACTTGGGGTGCTCAGATCAGGGCTATTTGTGGGTGTATTATTTGTGGGGTTATATCTTTATGATGTTTGAGGGTATTTTTATGTTTTTGTGTTTGCCTCTCTGTCCCTGGGAGATAATTACCTTACCGATCTTTAACGCAATTATCTCCCAGACACAGAGATCTTTGGGAGGGTCTTGCCTTGTATTGTGAATAGACCCCCTGCTGGGGGTTGTGTATATAAGCAGGCAACTTGGCCATAATAAACCAGTTCCTTTTCACCCTTGACTCAGTCTGGGCTAGTGTTTCGGTGGATTACCTATACTTTCTGCAGGAGAGCTTAATCACTTGAAGCTGTACCCAACACCCTGTTCCAGGGCGGGAAGCAACGGAGAGACCCCACCCAAGCTGTGGTGGCTAGGGGCTGAAGCACTACTGGTGTTCCGGTGATAGCTAGGAAGCGAGCTTGACGTAGGTACCCAGTCAGGGTGCCAGGCGGTTCGTCAC